AAGGCCCTGTCTCCGTATGTTTTAAGTCTTGACTTCGGAACTGCCAGATGTTTTTGATCAGTAGAGCGTAGCGTACGTGAACATGTACGATAACTAAGTAATTCCGTGATATATAATGGTGCCATACCATTTAGCGCCTTATAAACTAACAATAAAACTTTAAAAAGAATCCGAAAGTGAACAGGTAACCAATGCAGTTGAATCAATACAGGGGTGATATGATCAAATTTCTTGGTTAAAGTAACGATACGAGCAGCCGTGTTTTGCACAGACTGCAAACTACCTATCATATGCTTAGGGAGGCCATACAATAAACAGTTACAATAGTCTAGTTTAGAAGTAACAAACGCTGTTCAAAAAGTTGAACAGTGAAACGTTGACATTTTCATCTAAATAATTCCGGGTGCGTTGAATGAGGTGAGTCGTGTTTCGTGTTAGCCTAATGTCACGCAACAACGGTTTAAAGTGATACTCGACGCTTAAACTTTTCAGCTAACTTTAATTTTTCTGTACGTATCTCAATTTTAGCCAATTTTATTGACCATACTAGAGTGCAAAAGAATATCCTGAGGATCATACAGTGTTTGACCTGTTGTTACATACATTTACTTTACTTAGAGGTTTAGCCAAGTAAATAATAATAATTATAATAATAATAATAATAATAATAATAATAATTTATATAGTGCTATTTAGCTACTCTTTCATAGCGCTTTACAATGATCAGGTTAACGTAGAATCTAAAAGCTAAAAAATATAATAAAATACCGAGATAAATTAGTTACAAAGCTTCAAAAATATATATACATTATACAAAAAATGAAAGTTGGCGCAGCAATGCTGAACGCCCTATCTCCATAAGTCTTTAGTTTAGCCAGTGGCACAGTGAGCAGTTCTTGCTTACTGGAGTGTAAAGACCGACAGCACTTACGATGGCTCAGGAGACTAGAAATGTAAGAGGGTGCTTTGCCATTGAGTGCTTTATGGACTAATAACAGGAGCGTAAAAATAATACTTGAATGTATACGGGGAGCCAGTGTAGCTTGAACATTATTGGGGTAATCGAATCATACTTCCTTGCTAACGTGACAATGCGAGCTGCCGTATTCTGAACACGCTGTAATCTACAAACTAAGTATTTTGGAATACCATATAGAAGTGAGTTACAGTAGTCACGCTTAGAACTAATAAAAGCATGGATGAGAATTTGTGCACAGTCCTGGGTGAGATATTTGCGGATCTTTGATATATTCCTTAGATGATAATTTGCCTCACTACATATCTTTTTTACATGTTGTTCCATGCAAAAGCAATTGTCCATGATGACTCCTAGGTTACGTACAGACAAATTAGGATCAATGAACTCATCACTAACCCAATCATATTCAAGATTTGGTCTATTTCGAAATTTGGAGCTTATGACGACAAGTTCAGTTTTGTCTTGATTAAGTTTCAATAGTATAGGTTTTTGCACATCCAAAAGTCAATTTCTTTAACACAGCGCTCAACAAGCAACTTTGCCTCATCAAGATCAGCACAGTAATCGGTATTGAAGGAAATATATAGCTGCGTGATAAGCGTACAGATGGTACAGTAAGTTATGCTTTTTGATGATATCAGCAATCGGCGCAGTATAGACAAGGTACAGCAGTGGACCCAGTACAGACCCCTGAGGCACCCCACGCAACAACGGTCGCCTTGATGACATGCCCTCTTCTACATTAACAAACTGTTGGCGGGAGGTTAAGTAGGACTTAAACCAGGCTAATGCAGTTCCCTTCACCCCAAAACGGTTCGAGAGTCGAGATATTGGTATTGCATGATCCACCGTGTCAAATGCTGCTGAAAGATCTAATAAAAGTAATATGACCGACTTGTTTTGATCCAAAGAACACAAGATGTCATTATGTACTCTAAGTAGTGCTGTTTCAGTTGAGTGAAATTCTTTGTATGCTGACTGAAACGTCTCGTCAAGATGGTTGGTCATCGAAAACATGTTTCGTCAGTTGAACTGCAACAGACTTTTCAACCAGCTTAGAAATAAACTTTAAATTTGAGATTGGCCGAAAGTTTGTGAACTGCTTGAAGTCAGCAGTTGGTTTCTTTAATGTAGGTGAAAGAGAAGCAATCTTTAGGGCATCAGGCATACAACCAGTTGTCAATGACAAATTAACCATCCTGGTAATAGTAGGTAGCAGTACAGGGAAGCAATCCTTAAGTAGTGATGCCGGCGGAGGATCAAGACAACAGGATTTGCTTAAAGGCTTATAAGCAAATGTAAAAAGTACAGTACGCTCTTGCATTTTTGAGGAAAAATGAAATAGTAACGAATTGTTAAGTGTGAGGATAAACAATAACACTGATAAAGACAGCTGCTAATATTCGTAATGATAAAAGTGTTTGATTTTGACATCTCAATATTACAAGCTCATCAGGTTTTGCACCCCCTTTCGACTACTATTCACTACCCACCACCCCACCCCGCCTCACCATCGAACGCACTCCCCTAATTTGCAATTATTACTAGTATATAATGATTAAACGTATAAACAGAGTGTTCCCGCTTGTCATTTCTTTGCCAAAACGACTCCAAGATGAGGCAAACTGCCTCAACATTACAACTAAACGACTGCCCAAGCAAAATTACTTAATTAACGGAAGCCTACTTTTGGAAAAATGATTTGGAAAAAGCCGCTGCTGACGTCATATACGTGACATGTTTTTTCGCTCCAAGTCAATGGCCCCCACCAATTTCAAAGTTACTGCCGCCGAGAAAAATGTAAGAGGACAAGCAATTTTCAAATTATTTTCGTCTTAACGTCGTCGATCAACTAATACATTAATAATTACAGTATCGTTCAAAAGGTAACCTCTTTCACTTAAAAGAGATAAAGGAATTTGGTTGGTCCATGGAGGATTCTCTTCCAGTTTAGGCCGCAGGAAACTTTTCTTCCACGAGGCGTCTGCATTTAAAGGGTTAAACAGAGTAGTCCAATGCTTACATTGTACTGAAATTTTCTGTTGATCAATCACTTCATAAGTAACAAAATTAGAAAAAGGCCATGGTAATATGACGTCGTTTTCACTTTTCATTATTACAAAGTGGATGTTGAGGTAAGAACCTGAAATACCCAGGCCAACTTTAACTTTATAACCGTTTTCACCCAAGAAGAACGGATTACTCTGTATCTCGTGTCCCTCTTCTTCGGCCCGTTTAAGAAATCCTCTGAATCCTTGAATCTTCCACTGTTTTGTCCAATAACCAGGGTTACTGTCGGAGCAAATTTCCTTTCTTGGCAGTATGGCAAATTCCTTAGACATGCATCTACTTCCTTTTTGCTCGATCGTCCGCATTTGATTTGAGGGTCTCTGAAGCGGGCGAGGGTTTTTCTCCATTGAATCTCCTTTCTTAGAGTCGTCCTTAACAATCATCTCTAATGTTTCCACCCTATTTTGCAGCTCTATTTCTTTTTTTTTAAAGTTCTTACTTCTTTTTCGACTGCATTTACCTTTTCCGTATGCTGCTCTTTAAATTGCCTTTCTAGGGCATTGAACTTCTCGTTAAGTTTACTTGTTAAATCCTGGGACCTTTTCAACTCCTCTTGTGTGCTAGTTAGTTTTGCAAAAGCCAAGTCAACATGTGGTCGTACAGATTCCTGAAGATGGCTTTCAATCTCTTTCCGTTGAACCTGCAGTAAAAAAGACTTTTGTGCCAAAGGATGCTATACGCCCTTCCCGTCTGCATAACTAATTTCTTTCAAGTGACACCAGTAAAGTCTACTTTTGTTTTATTAAGAATTATTGTACGTGAAAGAAATGACTAAGTTGAAATATAACACCTAAATCAATTACTCTCGTTGACCAACCGGAGCGTCGAAAAAATCCAGGCTAACTGAGAGGTTCAGTTAAATACCTTATGAAATGACAACGAGAGATAAGCTACAGCAAAGCCACAATTATGATTTGGAAAAGTCGTCAATAGTGGTTAAAAAATGCAGGTCTTCAAGAATTGACTGAATGGATTCATGTCATTATTCGGTGTTATTGACACATCCTAAATTATAAGTCAAGATCAACGCACTGGCTTAAAAAAAAGATGGAGAAAAAGAAAGAAAAATCGCCATACTTTTTTTACACTAAAAATTTATCAATGAAATTGTGCTATTCTGAATGAATCTTAACTTACCTTTGTCGTACATCCCATTTGAGCATACGGACATGACGTTATGGTCAGCGGACAGTCTTTTTCATCGTGCGTTAATAGCTGTAATGAAAAGGAAAAGTATCATATTTCACACCACTGAGCATCAGTGAAATGACATGATGAGGAATAAAATCCTGGGAGAGCGGGTGGGAAAAAGCCTTCCTCTGCCTTGCAACAAAAACCTCTTCAAAATACACGTAACATTCCAAAATTGGTATCCCTGTGTTGTTTCATTTGAGGTAATTTCACGAGCATCTCGCCAAAAAAACTGTCGAAATTAACTGGTATAATTTCAAGAATTCTGCAATCTCATTTTAACTCACTAACCTATATTGTTATAGAGATTGAATAGTGTACCATCGTTTGAACAAAAAGCGAAACAATGGCAATCGTATTTGATGAAGAAGTAGATAAACTAATCAAAACGATACGAGACCAGGAACAACCAAAGTAGCCCAAAATGGGGAATGAACATTTTAATGGTAAGTACAAAAATTTAGTTGTTTATTTGTCACAAGTAAGTAACTTGTTTGCTCGTTTACACACATTTCCACCAAAACTTGAAATAGAATCGAACGCCAAAAGTGTTGGTTTCTACTAAAACCATGGGCCCTTCACGTGGTACCAAACCGCCATACTGGAGAGCAAGACACGCACTGCAACACGGCAAACAAAGAACTGATTACCATTTTAAATGATAAGAGCTCTTTTTTTGTTTTTTTTTTCCTGTTCGTCTCTTGCTCTCACCACGTAAAGGACTAGTCACTGGCAGATCCAGACCTTCAGATAAGACGGGGGGCCCGGTCATCCACACCCTGAGATAAGGGGGCAACTCGGTCTCTAAAAATTTTTTTTCGGCCCTTCAGGCCTCAGTTTGGTCTAAAAATAAGGGCGGGGGAGGGGGCCGGGGGAGCGGGCCCCCACTACTAGTTGCAGAGGGCCTATTAGTCTACTCATTATCGTTTTCTAAAAGTGAACTATTGAACTCGGCGTTACCTCTTCTTGCGGGACGACAGCGCCGCAGTTTTTTGGGCAGTTTAGCGGTTTTCTCTTACAATCAAGTTCGTGAGCCTGTTGAATGAAATGCCATCAAATTTATCTTTTGTAACTTAAGGTGGCTCGACCAGATTTTTTAGGGATTTTGAGCATTTACTACGTCATCATTAACAAAAATATCAGAAAAAGGTTACCACAGCTGTATTGTATAAAGATGAAAATATGTAATGATTTATGTTTTATTGACATCGGAGTTACCATGGCAACGTAATGACGCCATTACGTTTTTAACTTGCCTTTGTATTTCTCGGAACCAGGATCTTTTTTTTGGAAATCGCTTAAGGGAGCTCGTGCCTCCCTTCAATGATTGGATTATGGCAAAGTGTGAACAAATTCGAGCGTTTTGAAAATATTTTGGACCGAAATTTTAAGGGTCATAAAAACAGTGAATAACCATGCTATCGACATAATTGGCCAGTCACGCAACCTTTATAAACAGCTTTCTCAAGAGCGCTGTGAGACAGCTGACATTATTATTCATTCATTTATGTGTGAGCTTCCACTCATAGGCGTCCCCCCTCTAATAAGCCCCCCTGTTAGGCTCATCTACTTATAAAGAAAAACATACGACATCCGATTATAAGCCCCTCCCCCCCTTTACTTGAATGGAAATGTACTAGATTTTTTACAACGTTTTGAAGCTTAAAAAAGCGAGTAATTAAAAAAACGTATTTCGATTAGCTCCACTATGTAGCTTGTTTAAAAACGCTCTTTTTTAGTCCTGTTACAAGCCCCTGTTTATACGCCCTCCTAAAACCCCTTATCAGCGGAAGTCAAAGGTACGTCGAGAGCAGACTCAGAGCAGGGTTGAGCTGAAGGGGGCCAGCAGTATACCGAACAACTTCTCAAAGTGGGTACAATTTAATGACATAGTTGGTGCGGATACTTCCCTTCATGTTTACTGGGGCGTAATTCATCATAATGGAACGTAGATTACAAAGTAAAGTACAAAGTGTGGGTGTGTGTGGGGGGGGGGGGGGGGGTTGGGTATTTTCTTAGAAAGAAAATCTTGAATTTATTTGATAATTATAATCAATTTAGGCATTAAAGCGAAAAAAAAAACTTCTCCCAATTTTGTGTTCCAGCTCTTATTTCTTGAGTTCTGTTATCTTTATCCTCCTCTATGGACTCGTTTGTAATTCTTTGTTGGGGGGGGGGGGGGGGGGGGCCCGCAAAAAACACAAAAAATTTTCAAAGTGGGGAGAATTATAAAGGATTTTGTGGGGGGGATCCTTCCCTTTTTGTTTTTGGGGGATTTAATAAAAAAAAGGGAAAGAAATAAAAAAAAAAAAAATAGAGGGGGGGGGGGGGGGGGGGGGGGGGGGGGAGGGTTGGTCTTTTTCTGACACGATCCACTTCGACTGATTTTGTAATTACAATTAATTTAAGTAATAGTACAAAAAAAAAAAGTTTACCTTAGTTTTGCGTGCCGGATATAAATCGTTACAGTGACAACATTGAAGAATTCTCCATGGGCACGTTGTAGTCACGTGTGCTTGTAAATTATTCCTGGTCATTGTCTTGTTACAGTTTTCACTTGGGCAGGAAACAACCTTAAGGGGGCACGATTCCAGATGAATCTTTAAAAGGTAGAAAGAGGTCCAATAAAACTCTTCATGCATCAATCTTTGAACAAAAGGATTATCAAAAGCCTGCGAATATTCTATTACGTTAGACGATAAAAGTATGTTAGAGGAAGGTTATTTTATTATTTGTAGTGTACCAACTGACTGATTTGTCTCCCATGCTATCTTTATTTTTCTCACTGCGTTTATTTCCTTTGGCGTGATGCAAATTAAAATCAAAATGTTACTTACATCTTTGGACCTGAGTTCCCCAGTCCACTGACATCCTTCACTTGGGCAACGGACTAAAAATGAAAGAATCTTCCGTTCTGTTGCTTTATCTGGGAAAAGGTCCTAAAGAATGATCAATCATGACTATGATTATAATCAAACAAACCCAACTAATTTTAGCATTATTTATCATCTAACGGTGCCAAGTCTTTTTGTCTCTTATGAAAAGAAGCCTTAGTAGAGGCGTTTGTAGACTGCAAACAGTCTCTGAGTTCGAGAGCACGCGTGAGGGGCGGGCGGCAAAGCCGCGAGGAACGAGGGCAGTAGCCCGCGCGAAGAAAAAAATTAAGATCGACAACTATCGGTTTGTAAAATCCGATGGCGATGTTTTGAGGAAGAGTGAGAGTTCTGGTACTCACTTTTTATGGAGATAAAGGGACTTTGACAATGTTAACTCACTAAGGATGAGGAAACAAGAAGATATTTCATTTTGTTACATGACGAAACAACGAAACTTGGAGCCGTTAAATAAGCTACTTTGGTTCGCTTCACTAAATTTGTCAAACTTCGGTGCTTTCGTATAGAGGTTTCCTTCAAAAAGCCAAGGCAATTGCCAGGTATGCTATAGATGAATGTCTAAATGTGTGATTTAACTAGGATGAAGGGAATTTGGAGTTATACCACGTGTCAAATATCGCCGTCGAAAATGAGTAATCAGAATAAACTTAAGTTTTCGTTATCGTGAAAACCTATTCCTCGTTTTTGAATTTTTCAGTTCGGCAAGTCTCACTATTTCCCTGAAGTATCTTCTAGTGAAAGAAAAAGAGTTCTGTTGATGGGAAGTGTCCAAATTTGTCCGTGCGCGGCTTTGTTTGCGAACGCGAAGAATGTTGATGTTAGTGAATTTCAGGTTAAAAATTAGGCCATTTTGAGACTAAACAATTTACTTCACGTTTCTTATCTACTTAAAAGCTATCTATGAACAAAAAATGAAAGAAATCGATTTTTCAACTGTTGTCACTCAATGCTCGATATTTCCTGACCGTTGCTCTTAAACATGGTTTCGAATCGTTACAGGAAGTAACCTGACCCTTTGCAGTTATAATACTTCTTCTGAAGGCCGATGAAAGTAGCAACTTACCCGATCTCGGTCCAGATCCTCTCTATCTGCTGGGCAAATGTGAGGAAAGCCTTCAGCTGCACTTCTGTATTTTGGAAGAATAGTGGCCATAAATGTCAAATCTGAAGTTACCCCTTCCATCCCAAAACGATTTACGACAAAATGTCATGATTGTAGTATGACGAGACAAGTATTACATGTAACCGTGTCAATTCGAGTCTGTGAAATTCGAAGGAGCTCAAAAATATTAGACAACTGGCCCACGTACTCCATGTGATCCGGTTTCCGGAATCAGGGAAATTTATGCTTGTGGAATCCAGAATCCTGGGCTTTAAAGTCTGCAATCCGGAATCCAAGTTTCGCTGCAAGGAATCCGGAATCCACGCGTGGAATCTAGAATCCAAGACTGACCAACATTGTCTTGGATTCGCTTCCACGGGGCGAACTGTAGAGCCTTTTAACTAATTTAGTCGTACGCCTCGAAGCTTAACGTATTAATAAGACATCTCATCGAATGGCATACATTTATTTTACATCGAAACTGTCCGAATTCGCATGCGACAAAGTTTCACTATGGAAATCATAATGACTGCCTTTCAGTTTTATACGCGTCAATGACTGTCGCCTTCTCATGAGTCAAAAGTGATCACAGACAATTCATGGCAAGGGTGTTTCTCTAGGGTTTAGATCGAGAGAATCTAACCGTTCGGATAATCACAGAGAAACAAGCGACAATTAAGTGGGAAATTGGTCGGACTAACAAGATTCCAACTAAAATTAAGCTTACATATTAAATTTTACGCCCGTCTCCGTCGAATTGTATTGTAGGTCGTACCTTCTAAAATGTTCTTCGAGGCAACCTTTACAAAATCTGTGACCACATCATGTAAGAACAGGCTCCTTTAACGGCAAGTGGCAGATTAAACACTGAAAATCGTCTTCAACTTTATTCACAAACTCGTCCTCGTGCCCTGAAGGTAACCGTTGTCTGGCTGCCCCCGCCATTTTGAAAGTTGCATATCATGTGGCGTGACATAGTGCTCTATCTCGTGACTTGAGTCGCCGGGCTCTGTTACCTGGATCACGCAAAATCGGATGTTACTCAAACAAGGAAAGGAAAAAAATAAAAAAAGATGGGAACAAAACAGATAATTAGAAACACAATAAATTTTGAACAGAAATTGTAGGGCAATCTATAAAAGCAAGAAAAAAAAATAGTTAAAAAAAGCATTACAACTTCACGCCGATTTAAGTGTGTATTTCAGAAATGGGCATAACCGCTGGATTTTTTACCCTGAAGGCTCAATTTATTCCTCCGGACTTTCCCTTCGAGAGTGCTCGTTTTGACTCGGTTCAAAGAAGGTGAGATTTTATGGCGGAAGACTCAGAAGCGAATTCAAAGGAACTGAACAATGGCTTAATTAAGCTGCCCAGGGCCGCGAAATTTGAAAGGTATCCTTTTGTTCTAAGTGTGTCAATAAAACTGCAGAGAATTATCGCACATATTGCAGTAGAAGTTTATGGATTTAAGTCTTTCGCAAAACGTCTTCGACTTGGACACGTATTTTTCAAAAAGGAGAATTTTGAGAGCTTCAAAAAGAGATCTTGAACGAGAAATTTCGACCACTGTGGACCGAGATTGGATTTTTTTTCTTGCCGAGGTTTCGAAGTACAAAGCAAGCCGCTGAAGCATTTTTTCTCGCCTATCGCTTAATAAAATCCGGCCGAGAGTTATCCATTCATTCAATCATAACAGTTATTCATTTCTCCAGAGCAATGAAACTATACAAGGGTTTCTACAAAATTATTTCGATGAATTATGAACTCCGCAAGTTTTGATCTGTCGATTACAGCTCTTGTTTTGATTTTAGATATTTCCCGTCTCACTCGACTTCTCCGCGAATCAAGTTGTCATGCTAATCGGTGAACTGACAATACGCGGTTATTTCGGGCCCTGCAGTCACGTAACTGAAACGAAAGGTTTTGTTCAACAAAAAAAAACTGAAAGGCAAGCGAAAACGTCCAAAAAAGTGAAACTACACTCTAATAAAACTGTGTCATCCCGTTAAATGCATTCACCGCTTGCGTTGTTTACATTTAAAAAAGAGTTGTTCGCTCTTGATTGCAGAGCTACTGAATGAATAAAACGTTCTAATAAATAACTTCCGCAGCAATTCTTTAAAACGCCAATTTATTTTCAAGGCAAGAGAGTATTTAATAAAAAAAATACTATTGGATACCAGGTATTTATAAGCTTTAATCAACTTCAAATTTATCAGGCTTGTTTCCTTTGTAATACGGTGCGTGACCGAAAATATGTTATGCAACCAGAGTTGTCCGCCACGCTTAAAAGACTTGTAAGCGTTCCCACAGACTGCAGCAAATTTAACAGGCAAGTCTGAGTATTTTAATGGATAAATTTAATACTCATCAGGTAACAATGGGGATTAAAAAGTCAATCAAGCGACAAAATTCGAAACAAAAGAGATATATCGCACCTAAATCAAAGGAATTCCGCTCGTGGATTCTTCGGAAGGTAATCGACAATGGCAAGAACAATAGCCTGAATATATGAATACTTGATAACCCCAAAATTTGGGGTACACACTTAAATCGGCGTGAAGTTGTAAAAGTAACAAATAAGAAAAATAAGAAAAATAATTAACAAGGACTCTGTACCCTAGCCTCGGTTGCAACCCAACATGGCGGAAGGTTGACAATGGCAGGGTACAATGAGATCTTCGTAAACTCTTTAGATGAAGATGTTAAGTGTTGTTTCTGCCATTTACCTCTACGTGAACCCGTTCAAACAAGATGTGGACACAGATTGTGCCGTGAGTGTCTCGAGGAATTAACGCAGTCGACGACAAAGTAAGAAAAACGTGATGTATTCAAAGATACGGGGAAAGCTGATTTATTGTGCTTGTAGATAAGTTAGTATATACTGTATTCTTAAAAAGATGTACTCCGCTTTCCCCTCTATTTTGTGGGAAAAAAGTGGAGGAATGGACAATATTTCCAGGTTTCATAGAGGATAGTACGGGGTTCAAAATTGAAAAAAATTGTTCCTTGACACTTAATAAATAATATTTATCATGTCGTGGGCACGCCTGATGGGGTCTTGGTTTTCTACTTAAGGTGGGGTTTTGTAGAAAACAAAGACCTTGCTCAAATTTCTTGATAATGGTATATCATATTCTTTCTTGCTTTTTCTTTGGTTGAGATTACCTTTTTTCTAGCAATTTTCACGTGATTCCCAAATGTTTTGATGGGCGGGGTCTTCGTTTGTGATTAATCTTCTTTTTTAACCGAAGCTTCGAGTCAAATTTGTTGGTGGTTGTAGATCCTGCTGTTCCTTAATATACAGTTAACGTGTCTGTACAATTTGAGTTGGCGACTGTTTCAAGCTAATTTTCAAGTGATTTTAAGGAAGTCTTTGTCTGTTGCAGTTAGATGTGCCTGGCATTGTTACAGGGGTCCAAGTTGCACACCCCTGCCAAAAATTTCCTAAAGGCCTCCCCTCAGCTAGCAAGAAAAATAAAGGCTCTGGTGGCAGGTTTTCCTGGGGTAATCCCCATAAAGATGACAGGGGTGCATGTTGGACAATTTTCACAACACCGCTAAAGGTGATCATTTTATGGGCATGGCTAAAATATATTGATTCATTCACCGACACTCATAAGAGGTACCAAATTAAATAAACAACAAATTAACTGGCACTGACAAATTGTGGTTGACTATTTACTTGACTAACAAATAAATTCCTTCATTTTTATGATTCAACTCTGTTACCCTTGTAAGGTACTGCAGCAAACCTAATAGCGACAAATGTTGACCCTAAAAGGTACAACAATGATCCTTGTCATTTTAGCGGAGAGTAATCCTTCAGGGCAGGATCAGTTTAAATCAATTCAGAGTTTGTGTATTGATCAATGTTTGCAGGGATGACAAGTCAAACAATGATGATCTGTTTTCTTTTACTTGCCCAGTGGATAATGTGAAGTTGGATTTTAGCGTGGTAAGTATTTGTCCATTAACTAGCACACTAATAATATTGTTTTTCTTGTTCATGAAATTATTTTTACGATCTTGCCTTTCTGCTTGCCTTTGTTCATAGGACACCTTCCCTGACAAAGCAACAGAAAGAAAGATTCTGTCATTGATCATTCAGTGTCCAAATGGTTCTTGTGAGTGGACAGGACCACTTGGGGAAAAACAAGTAAGACTGTTTAACTTACTCAGTGATACCCCAGTTTTTCTTCCTTGCACAACATGATTATACTGATTGGGAATTTAAGTAAGAGGTAAGAAATTCTTGCAGACACCTTCCAGACATTGCTGTGCAGTTAATTGTTACACCTCCAGTAGTGATTTCAATGCGCATTGGAAAGGAATACCCATGTTGTGTTCATCTGGATGATAAAGTACATGTAATCTATATAAATGTGCTTTTCTTAAAATTTCGTCAGATACATGACTTAATGATCGATTTATCTGAGACTGCCATTGAACCCGAAAACAACAATATATTCAAACATACATGCAGTAATAAGTTTTAAATCTCCATGCACTCTTGTACATGTGGTGGCCCACACATTCACAAAAAATGTTTCCGCATGCTTGCCAAAGTCTCTTTTCCTTTTGTTTGTATTTTTGATTACATGTGCGTGCAATTTGCAATCAGACATTAAGCATTGTTTTTCATTGACAGAAACACTTGGATTGTTGTCTCTTGCTTGTTGTCTCTTGTACAAATGAGAACTGTAAAGAGACCATGGTGAGGAAGGATTTGGATGAACATGTGACTGTCACATGTCAATGGAGGATGATATACTGTTCATACTGTAGTGTTTCACTTCCTGATTGCCATTTGAAGGTAAAAAGTCACATTGTGCTTTTAATATGTTTTCACCATAGTCTCATTTCACAAAGTGAAAAAATAACAACAAGTAATAATAATACCAAAAAAAAAAATAGAAACAAGAAAGGAAGGAAAAGAAATGAACTACTGGTTACATGTATAACCATAATTGCTGAATAGAAATTTGACACATTGGAATTTATACTTGTGAAACAATGTCACATGTCATTGCACTAGTGGCTTTGTTTTTAATACTTTGCCTTTTTTTCCAAGGAACACATAAATATATGTTCAAAGTATCTTGTTGAGTGCCCCAATACCTGTGGCGTGGAAATTCAACGGGAAAAGGTAAGGTGTTCAGTACCTGATCCAGACCCTCAGATGGAAGGGGGGGGGGTGCAGGGGGGTGGTCTCTGGGCCTCAGTTTAGTCTAAAAATAAGGGGCCCCCCCTGGATCCGCCACTGGGTGTTTCCTTTAAAAAACCTTAAAACTGCTCTTCTTAGTGGACATGCCACTAGGGATCCAGATCAATTATGGCATGTTTAATATATGTTTGACAGTGTACACAGGTGACCCTCGGTTTATGGAAAATATTTAAAAATCATTGGATGTGGTCAAGTTTGATATGAAGAATTATGCAGATCGAATAATTTGTATAGCATGAAAGCATAATTCATTGATAATCATTGTTTTATTAATCATACGAAATACCTTTAAGCTGAACACGTATTTCCTAGTATTTCTCAGCAATTTCAGGATATGAAGGGATGTTTTATTCTAGTAGATATTCTTTTTATGGCAGTGGGCGTCTCTAGTTCAGCTGTTTCATCTCCGCATGATATGTGAAGGTTTTCGCCATTTTCTTCAGCTCTAGAGTGCTAAAACAACTGGGCCTCTGCGTCGCTCCTTTCCAAGGCGTCTGTGCCTCCCTTTTTCAGTCAAATAATTTACTATGGAGAGAAGTTATTACATCACGTTGCCATGGTAGCAGAATTTTTGGATGACAACAAACCAAAACGTCACTTAAAAAGTGGATTCGCACTGTTTCAAACTTCATCAATCTTATTTAATTTCATTTAATTTGTCAAATGTTGGCGAAATATGTAACAAATAAGAAAAATAAGAAAAATAATTAACAAGGACTCTGTACCCTAGCCTCGGTTGCAACCCAACATGGCGGAAGGTTGACAATGGCAGGGTACAATGAGATCTTCGTAAACTCTTTAGATGAAGATGTTAAGTGTTGTTTCTGCCATTTACCTCTACGTGAACCCGTTCAAACAAGATGTGGACACAGATTGTGCCGTGAGTGTCTCGAGGAATTAACGCAGTCGACGACAAAGTAAGAAAAACGTGATGTATTCAAAGATACGGGGAAAGCTGATTTATTGTGCTTGTAGATTAGTTAGTATATACTGTATTCTTAAAAAGATGTACGCCGCTTTCCCCTCTATTTTGTGGGAAAAAAGTGGAGGAATGGTCAGTATCTCCAGGTTTCATAGAGGATAGTACGGGGTTCAAAATTGAAAAAATTGTTCCTTGACACTTAATAAATAATATTTATCATGTCGTGGGCACGCCTGATGGGGTCTTGGTTTTCTACTTAAGGTGGGGTTTTGTAGAAAACAAAGACCTTGCTCAAATTTCTTGATAATGGTATATCATATTCTTTCTTGCTTTTTCTTTGGTTGAGATTACCTTTTTTCTAGCAATTTTCACGTGATTCCCAAATGTTTTGATGGGCGGGGTCTTCGTTTGTGATTAATCTTCTTTTTTAACCGAAGCTTCGAGTCAAATTTGTTGGTGGTTGTAGATCCTGCTGTTCCTTAATATACAGTTAACGTGTCTGTACAATTTGAGTTGGCGACTGTTTCAAGCTAATTTTCAAGTGATTTTAAGGAAGTCTTTGTCTGTTGCAGTTAGATGTGCCTGGCATTGTTACAGGGGTCCAAGTTGCACACCCCTGCCAAAAATTTCCTAAAGGCCTCCCCTCAGCTAGCAAGAAAAATAAAGGCTCTGGTGGCAGGTTTTCCTGGGGTAATCCCCATAAAGATGACAGGGGTGCATGTTGGACAATTTTCACAACACCGCTAAAGGTGATCATTTTATGGGCATGGCTAAAATTGATTCATTCACACTCATAAGAGGTACCAAATTAAATAAACAACAAATTAACTGGCACTGACAAATATGTTGTGGTTGACTATTTACTTGACTAACAAATAAATTCCTTCATTTTTATGATTCAACTCTGTTACCCTTGTAAGGTACTGCAGCAAACCTAATAAATAGCGACAAATTTTGGCCCTAAAAGGTACAACAATGATCCTTGTCATTTTAGAGGAGAGTAATCCTTCAGGGCAGGATCAGTTTAAATCAATTCAGAGTTTGTGTATTGATCAATGTTTGCAGGGATGACAAGTCAAACAATGATGATCTGTTTTCTTTTACTTGCCCAGTGGATAATGTGAAGTTGGATTGTAGCATGGTAAGTATTTGTCCGTTAACTAGCACACTAATAATATTGTTTTTCTTGTTCATGAAATTATTTTTACGATCTTGCTTTTCTGCTTGCCTTTGTTCATAGGACACCTTCCCTGACAAAGCAACAGAAAGAAAGATTCTGTCATTGATCATTCGGTGTCCAAATGGTTCTTGTGAGTGGACAGGACCACTTGGGGAAAAAGAAGTAAGACTGTTTAACTTACTCAGTGATACCCCAGTTTTTCTTCCTTGCACAACATGATTTTACTGATTGGGAATTTAAATAAGAGGTAAGAAGTTCTTGCAGACACCTTCGAGACATTGCTGTGCAGTTGTTACACCTCCAGTGATTTCAATGAACATTTGTAAGGACCACCCATTGTGTTCATCTGGATGATGTTTATATTCATGAGCATGTAAATTTTCCATAAAGTACAATTGTATATAATGTGCTTTTCTGAAAATTTCCTCAGATACATGACTTGATTGATTTATCTGAGACTGCCATTGAACCTGAAAACAACAATATATTCAAACATACATGCAGTAATGAGTTGTCAATTTTCATGCACTCTTGTACATGTGGACACCCACACATTCACAAAAAATGTTTGTGCATGCTTGCCAAAGCCTCTTTTCCTTTTGTTTGTATTCTGATTACATGTACGTGCAATTTGCAATCAGACATTAAGCATTGTTGTTCATTGACAGAAACACCTGGATTGTTGTCTCTTACTTGTTGTCTCTTGTACAAATGAGAACTGTAAAGAGACCATGGTGAGGAAGGATCTGGACAAACATGTGACTGTCACATGTCAATGGAGGATGATACACTGTTCATACTGTAGTGTTTCACTCCCTGATTGCCATTTGAAGGTAAAAAGTCACATTGTGCTTTTAATATGTTTTCACCATAGTCTCATTTCACAAAGAGAAAAAATAACAACAAGTAATAATAATACCAAAAGAAAAATAGAAACAAGAAAGGAAGGAAAAGAAATGAACTACTGGTTACATGTATAACCATAGCTGCTGAATAGAAATTTGACACATTGGAATTTATACTTGTGAAACAATGTCACATGCCATTGCACTAGTGGCTTTGTTGTTAATACTTTGCCTTTTTTTCCCCAAGGAACACATAAATGTATGTTTAAAGTATCTTGTTGAGTGCCCCAATACCTGTGGTGTGGAAATTCAGCGGGAAAAGGTAAGGTGTTCAGTGCCAGATCCAGACCTTCAGATGGAAGGCGGGGAGGGGGGGGGGTGCAGGGGGGTTGGCCTCCGGGCCTCAGTTTAGTCTAAAAATAAGGGGCCCCTCCCCTGGATCCGCCACTGGGTGTTTCCTTTAAAAAACCTTAAAACTGCTCTCCCTAGTGGACTATGGATCAAGATCAATTATGGCAAGTCTAATATGTGTTTGACAGTGTGCACAGGTGACCCTCGGTTTATGGAAAATATTTAAAAATCATTGGATGTGGTCAAGTTTGATATGAAGAATTATGCAGATCGAATAATTTGACATAGCATGAAAGCATAATTCATTGATAATCATTGTTTTATTAATCATTCGAAATACCTTTAAGCTGAACACGTATTTCCTAGTATTTCTCAGCAATTTCAGGATATGAAGGGATGTTTTATTCTAGTAGATATTCTTTATATGGTAGTGGGCGTCTCTAGTTCAGCTGTTTCATCTCCAGATGATATGTGAAGGTTTTCGCCATTTTCTTCAGCTCTAGAGTGCTAAAACAACTGGGCCTCTGCGTCGCTCCTTTCCAGGGCGTCTGTGCCTCCCTTTTTCAGTCAAATAATTTACTATGGAGAGAAGTTATTACGTCACGTTGCCATGGTAGCAGAATTTTTGGATGACAACAAACCAAAACGTCACTTAAAAAGTGGATTCGCACTGTTTCAAACTTCATCAATCTTATTTAATTTCATTTAATTTGTCAAATGTTGGCGAAATACTCTGGGTAAAATCCGAAAGGACCGTATGTAAGTTTAGAAAAAGAAAAACAAAATTTTTTTGTTGTGCTCACCTACTCCATAAAGCGGGCGCGTGAAATTAGGAAGTTTCATGTCGTGGTCGTGCAACAACGGCTAGGAAATGTACAAAAAAGCGTGATGCACGTGCAAAGATGTTTTTTTGCCAATCTAAACCTATTATTTTTTTGCTGTTCGCCGTTGCCGTTGCAAAAACTCCCTATTGTTTTCATCCAGAAATTTTCCTACCATGGTAACGTGACGTCACACTTCTCCTCTCTATTGACGTCAGTCGTAAATGAACAGCAAACGTATTCCTAATTTGGTCATCGCTGGCTGGTTATGTAGGATTAGCCGGTGAATTACTTTCAATAAATAGTAATTTCTTTTTTGACCCTTCTTTATTGCAACCTTGCTTCAGGAAATAAAGCAAAACCAAAAGCGGCACAGAGATTTGCAAAAAATTTGACATTTTAATGGAGGAATCATAGACTGAGAAAACACCCAGCGAATTTTCCAATGGCACCTCCTGTTTCCCCGCGAAATAACGTCTGAGTAGCGAGAGCAGAAATTGCCTACTGATGACAGGATTTTGCTTCTAATTGGCTGAAAATTTGTTTCAACCAATCAGAAGCACTACCCAGATCTGGGTAGTGATGCGTCATCAGTGTGGAATTTCTGCACTTGTTTCTCAGACGTTATTTGGCGGGGAAACCGGTGGTGGTGTCGCGGAATGTCGGCAGTTTTCTCCGGCTAGGGGAATCATAGCTGTCGTGTTATTATTCACTTACTAAGCAATACTGGCTGCACTGAGATGTTGTCACTATGATTCCGGCACAAGATCACAAGTTGCCTGGGCATAGTTGTCTTTCTAATTTCAATGTTAAATTATCCAACCTTTATAGATCCCACATCACGTTGAAAATGACTGTCCACTGGAGATAGTATCCTGCCCTTATGCTCAGATGAGCTGTGATGTAAAGGTAAATTCAAACAGTACTGAGTTACTGATAGATTGGCCACGAGTAATTCAGCAAAAAGGAGACGTTTTGCACTAAGATCTACATGTATAGTTTCAAGAAAGATACTTTCAGTGGAAATCAATTGAAAGATTAGCGAATGTTTAGGGTAGAAGCGGGGGGGGGGGGCACTCCATCAAAAACTATTTTCCATTCATTTCGAAGATGATAGACTTCAAATTGTTGCTACTGGAAATATTTGTATATGTCGCAACTGTTAGTCGTAAGAGTAGTCATTTTCAGCTCTTCGTTTTTCTTTTCCTTGGTCAAATCTCGACAAAGCTTAGCTGTACTAAAAATGGCTTCCAACTTATTCAGCAAATGTTCTGCTTATTTCCACGGCACCGTGTAGTGGTTATGATGGGGTCGACAAGCAGAAATTTTACTGCGCTTTTCACAAACATGCGAATTCTGAAGTTCAAAAGCCAACTGACGATTGCGTTTTTCGCTGCCGTCAATCATCTTAACGGACCTCTTAGGAAACAAAACTTTACTTTAACGGGTGCAAAAGGTCAAGGTTTGTGATTTGTGATTGGAGGATTTCGATCCGTTTTGTGTGTCTCTGTGTTTCAAGGTTCGTTGCTTGTGATCGTAATTATGATTGACGGCAGCGAAAAACGTAATTGTGAAGGCGGCTTTTGAACTTTAGAGTTCGCGTGTTTGTGAAAAGCCCAGTAGAAGCGCTTACAAAATGCAACGGTAAGCTAAAAAGCCAAGACCTGTTACTTACTTTTTACAAACTTTCGACAGGTTGCAAGAAATCAGGTTGAATCGCACCTTCAAGCAGCTTCAAGTAACCACCTTGATTTGGCCCGCATTAACTTGCTTGGCACCCAAGAGAAGTTCAGAGAGAAAACAAGGAAAATGGACGAAAGAATGTCCGAATTGGAAAAGCAGGTTTATGACTTGAAGAACACAAACACCTTCCTCCTTGAGGCGGTGGCTTCCCTGGGACTTACTATAGCTCCTCAACTGTCTTGGAGGATTTGTAACATCACTGAAGCCTTAAAACCCCCCACGCCGTACGGAACAGCAGCATTACAGAGCGAACCTTTCTACTCTTCTGCTAATGGTTATAAATTGAAGGTGTCTCTTTACCCCAGGGGTTCCAAAAGCCGCAAGAGAGGTTATGTTTCTGTGTACCTGATTGTTATGAAAGGGGAATACGACGATGCATTACCGTGGCCTTTCCGTCATAAAGTAATTTTTACCCTTATTGACCAACAAGAAAATCTAGAGAAAAGGAGGAATATTGTCCGTGAGTTAGTCCCTGACATGAACCGAAAATGGCATGCAAGGGCTTGCGCAAAACCAACTGAAGACGAAAATCCTGAATTTGGAATTTTTGAACTTGAGCCAATAGACACATTTTTATATCAAAAGACTCGAGGCTACCTTCTTGATGATTCACTCTTGCTTGAAGTGAGGGTGATTCCTCAACTTAATGTTGTTTGAAAAGCAAATCATACATATTAAACCTTCTGGACTACTTTCAAGAACGTCCATTAATTGAAGAGGCAAGAGTTGCAAGAGAGGGACTAGCTAACAGGTTTGAAGTGAAACCAAAACACAAGTGACCAAGAAAGCCACCAAACAGTGTGTAACCCAACCTCCTTTAGTTACTTTATATTTGAAATGAAAGAAACCACGCGATAAATTAAGAGAGGGTTATTTTCTTGGTGGGTGCAAATGTTTTACCCTCAAATACAAGGCCATTTTGGTAAGTCCTGTGGCCACTAAACGCTACTTTGCCGAGACCTTCAACCAAGAATATCGAAACTAGAAAACAACACGTCTGAACATGGCGTATGAAGACAAACGTGTCACAAGATAAGCGTTTTTCAAAAAGACTTCAGTGGCGGATCCAGGGAAGGAGCCCGGGGGACCCACCCCTCCTTATTTTTAGACCAAACTTAGGCCCGAAGTGCCGAAAAAGATTTTTTTGAGACCGCCCCTCCCCCCCACTTCCCACCCCCGCTTTATCTCAGAGTCTGGCTGACCGCCGCCCCCGCTTATTTAAAGGTCTGGGTCCGCAACTGGACTTAGCATACAAAGGACTGCGAACCTGTATCTGAATCCGCTTTTTTGTATGAGAAATACTATACTGAGATCTGCGAATGTAAAATAACGCTGAATTAAATCTAAACTTTCCCTCTGTGAAATGAAAAAAAAAGACTTACATGTGATGAATTCCACTGTGTTTTGGTGTAAAATAGCAATAAAAAAGTAAAGCTTCAAGAAAAAACAATCATTATCAACCAATCCGCTTTTATTTCCACTGAAACGTATCTTTTGAAGGTATGTCTTCAAAACGAAGACCGAAAAAGCAGGGTCTAACTACAAAACGAAGACCCTGCCTGTGATGAGTAAGCCACGCCAGGTTACATGTGTCTTCGTTTTTGCGTCTTCGGTCTTCGTTTCGCAGACACCTCGTATAAAGTGTTTATAATACTGCTTGTAATGATAGTGCTTATAATAGCGCTTATAATCGTATGAAGTTCTTATAAGTACTTACAACTATAGTATAACTAAGACCTTGAAAGCCTTGACCTCTAAAATAAGTATCAATATGAGCTTAAGCTTTAAGTCTTCATATTTTCGAAAAAATGGACGAGCTGCATGGTCAAAACGATACACAAGCACGTCATTCCTTCGATGCCCGTCAAAATGGCGACGCTTTTGATGAAGGCCGTCTCAATCTGGCGGATTTCGTGCAATTACTTCATACCTCTTCGCAAAACACAAAAAATTGCCAATCCGCAAAAATGAACTCCCGCAAAAAAAATTGCGCCACTACAGGCAACCCAAGCTTAGTATGAGAGATTTAATATTCATTAAGGTGGCTCGACTGGATTTTTTTGGAGGGATACCTCCCAAGTTTGAGCATCAACAACGTCGCCATGAGTAAAGATATAGGAAAAAGATTACCACAACTGTATTATATAAAGATGAAAATTTCTTATGATCTGGGTTTTATTGCAATCGGAGTCACCATGGCAACGTAACAACGCCATTATGTTTTTTATTTATCTTTGTGTTTCTCTGTACCGGGAGTTTTTTTTAAGAAATCGCTTAAGGGATTTTGTACCTGCCATAATTGCCTCAATTATGTCAGTGGTTATATGCATGTTAATAAAATTCTTCTTACTCGCGATCGCCCAGAGCAATTCCCCTCTTTTCAGGTACGCAGTTTTCAATGGAATCAAACTACTATAAGATGAAGCCGCGTTTCCAAAGCTTATCATTTTCTTTAAAAAACAGCTAATTGTGTGGATAGCACGCTATTTCACTGTTTTTATGATGCTGAAAACTTCGGTTCAAAATATCTCAAAAACGCTCTCATAGAATTTGTTCAAACTTTGCCATAAATGAGGCAATTATGGCAGGTACAACCTCCCTTAAGCGATTTCTTGAAAAAACTCTTGGTACAGAGAAACGCAAAGATAAATAAAAAACGTAATGGCGTCGTTACGTTGCTATGGCGACTCCGATTGCAATAAAACCCAGATCATAAGAAATTTTCATCTTTATATAATACAGTTCTGATAATCGTTTTCCCATATCTTTACTCATGGCGACGTAGTTAATGCTCAAACTTGGGAGGTATCCCCCCAAAAAAATCCAGTCGAGCCACCTTAATACGAGTGGTATCACTGCGTAATCCTCAAAATGGCCGTGACTACTAAGGATTTGTATGGGAATTTAGGGAATAGATTCAAGAAGATAAATGTTCGCTGGAATTTTCAGTAATAAACACTTTACCTTTTTTACTTGGTTTGTTCTTGCTTGGCGTGCGGTTATCCGATCCGCTCAATTTATGCGATTAAATCAAAATGCATATTGCAAAATCTCGGACACACCGGATAGTTTTCGACGTACCTTTCGAGGTCTTAGAGTTTTCGAGGTCTTAGGTCTTCGGTCTTAGCTTTCTAGGCTACCCCCTAAGGGAGGGACAGTTGTTACGCAATACATTGTTATTAAGCATAATAAGACTAATAACAAGTGACGTACCATGCTTGGAACATAAAATAAAACCACTGTACTGTTAAAAATAAACCAGTACTAAAATATGAGAGGAGAAACGTGCAATCAACTAATAACTTTAGGATCACTTGTATCTTGCCGAAGACCCTCACTTAAGATGAGATCAGGCTGTACTCTCGTTTCGCTTGCTAAATAGATTTCCGGCGGGCAAGGCGGCGAATCGAAAAGTCTCGCCTCCAGAGCAGACATTGTTTCATGTGCTTCTGAAATTTACATTCACGATATTACCGCAGGGATATGTCATGGACCTTAAACTCAACACTAGGGCCTTCGAGGCTAAAATACCGTTCGTATTTAATAGTTGGGGCGGAACAAAGGCATCCCAAGTATGTGGTCAGATTATGCTAGTGCCACCAAGAAAATGGGGTAGCTTTTGCTCGTCCGCAGTAAATCTAGATTTACGAGTAGTAGTGGTGCTAGTATACATTTTATAGAGGGTCGTGAAATCGTTAACAGTATCCTTACGTTCGTTCATAAGTAGCGCCTTCCCGATCCGCCAAACGTCGCTCATGGACATAGACCTTGTAGAGCAGTCCGTGGCATCTACAGTATCATCAGCTGCAGGGGCGTAGCCAGGATTGTTCAAAGGGGGCGCCACCATCCATGGATCGCCGACTATATATGGTTTATACCGCTGCTCTCCCTCGTGTATCAGCGGGCTCAGTCGTATTATCGCGGCATGGAAGGCCCATATTAACAAAAGACAAGAGCCGTTGACGAAAATGCTTTACATAAAAACAATTTTAAAAAAGTGGGCTTTTCAACAATGGCTTTTACGGCCAAGATATTGTCATGGCGTTTTCGCCACCTGAATATTGTAGGCTGTTTGCTCAAAAGAAGGCCTACCAAGGGGGGGTCACGGGCACCCTAGGACCCCCACTAGCTACGCCCCTGCAGCTGACGTTCCGTTGACGCGAGAGCTATCTCTAAGTCCTACGCAGAGGTACCCTGCTAGCAAGCTCTCCATTTATGGCAAGCGAAGCGAGCCGCAAGAGAACACGCGAGTGAGCGGCAAAGGAAAGGAGTACTCGTAAGGATCTCTTACGGCTGGCTTTCACTAGCGACAGAGTCGGAATCGGAGTCAGAGTCGTAAGCAGAGTCCTAAGAGCGCTTATGACTCCGTGAAAATAAAAAATCGGAGTTGTAAGCAGGGTCATAAGCGCGACGGGTCAGAGTCGGACTTACCAGAACGTTTCCATTTTCTTCCGTCTCCGCTTACGACTCCGTCGCTTATGATCAAGCGAAAAACAGATTGTCGGAGTCGGAAGCAGAGGCGAAAGAATAAACCAATCACAATGCACGTTCCCGCGCTTTTTCTTCCACTTCAGCTTACGTGCGACTCCGACAACCTAGTTTTCATTTGATCGAAAAAGACGGAGTCGTAAGCGGATGTGAGCCTTTAAAAAAGAACATGCATTCAGAAAGACCAGCATTTAGCAAAAAGTGTCAAGGAGCAAGCAACCAAAAATACTGTCTTTTGTGAGGGGGGGGGTCGCTACCCCGGGGGGGGAAGTTACTGCCACATAAGGGCTATATAGATATGTGCCGCTGTGATGGGTATGGTTTTCACGCAGTTTACTCTGGGATAGGATATAAATCAGAGAGTTTGGGTCTAGAATAGGGTATCATTCAGTTAGTTGAAGGTTTTAGTCTAGACTAGGGAGTTGCCACTCAAAAATATAAAAAAATCAAATCGGCAAGTTTAAATTTATACAACTCAGCCTAACTACTATAGGATACGGGGAGATTAGGAATTCAGTACCCTTACGCTTAGGGTTCCAGGGTCCCAGCGGCAAATCCCCACCCAAAAATTCCCAAAGTACTCCCACGGGGGTCGCTACAATGAGGTACAGTGGGGAAAGCCATGCACCTTTCCAGAGACCTGTGGATATGTTGGAGGGGGCAGTTTAGTCTGTGGTAGGGAGTCAAAATCAGAAGATTTTGGTTTAGCATCTGGAATGTCTCGGCACTTGCAGTTAGATGTGGTCTGGTGTTGTTACATACACACCCTGGCCAAAAATGTCTTTAATGCCTCTCCCCAGCAAGCAAGAAAAAGAGAGGCCCTGGTTGCAGGCTTTCCTGGGGTAATCCCCATAAAGATTACAGGGGTGCATGTTGGAAAATTTTGACAACACCCCTAGAGGTAATCATTTTATGGGCGTGGCTAAAATTCATTCATTCACACTCATAAGAGGTTCCAAATTAACTAAACAACAAATTAACTGGCACTGACAAATTTTGGTTGACTATTTAGTTGACTAACAAATAGTTCCCTCATTTTGATGAATTAACTCTGTTACCCGGCCCTTTAAGGTGCTGTAGCAAACTTAATAGCCACAAATTTTGACCCTAAAAAGTATAATGATGATCCTTGTAATTTCAGAGAAGAGTAATCCTTCAGGGCAGGATCA